AAAAAAAAAAAAAAAAAAGAAGAAGGAAACGCCCTTCTCTTTCAGCTAAAAGTGCCTGTGGGAAATGTGGAACCATTTACACACACCATACTTCTCAGCCACACTTTCCTCAGTTGCCTCTATAGGGTCAACCTTCTTGGCCTAGAAGCCTCATGGTTAGCTCAGTGCCTGAGAGGCTCTTTCTTCAGCCTCTCTACTTCCTCCCATTTGCAATGACTCAGTAGCACCAGACTGGGAAGGTCTGCAGGGACCAGAACCCCCACTTGGAGGCCATACATGACACACCAATGATGTATGCAGCAGCGTTAAGGGATTTTCCTACAGAGGAGTTGATATGCAGAGGCAATAAAATGACTGCTTTGAGGCCAGGCACGGTGGCTCACGCCTGTAATCCTAGCACTCTGGGAGGCCGAGGCGGGCAGATTGCTCGAGATCAGGAGTTCGAAACCAGCCTGAGCAAGAGTGAGACCCCGTCTCTACTATAAATAGAAAGAAATTAATTGGCCAACTAATATATATATATAGAAATCAGCCGGGCATGGTGGCACCTGCCTGTAGTCCCAGCTACTCGGGAGGCTGAGGCAGGAGGATTGCTTGAGCCCAGGAGTTTGAGGTTGCTGTGAGCTAGGCTGACGCCACGGCACTCACTATAGCCTGGGCAACAAGCGAGACTCTGTGTCAAAAAAAAAAAATGACTGCTTTGTAATTGGCCACCTGGGAACAATGAGTGTGCCTGGCCCTGTGCTTCTCAGGGATCACCTGTTGTAGGACCACATTCCACAAGGGGAGGAAGGGCCTGGAATAGGTTCTGTAGTCATTGGTTTCTCCGCAGAATGTCATTCTGGGAACATGCAGGTCAACCATTCTTCCCTATAGCTCAAGTTAACCAGATGATCTGATCACAGACACTTGGGTATAGATAAAAAGTGCTTGCTTTTTTAAATTTCAGCATATTATGGAGGTACAAATTTTAAGGTTTCAAAGAATGCCCTTGCCCCCCCCCACACACACACAAGTCTGAGCTTCAAGCGTGACAGTCCCCCAGATGGTGCACATCTCATTCATTAGGTATGTATATACCCATCCCCTCCTCCCCCCTCCCACCTGCCCAGTACCCAATAAATGTAATTCCTATGTGTCTACTTAGGTTCTGATAAGTTAATACCAATTTGCTGGTGAGTATATGTGGTGTTTGTTTTTCCATTCTTATGATACTTCAATTAGTGGCATGGGTTTCAGCTCTATCCAGGAAAATACAAGATGTGCTATATCACCATTGTTTCTTAGAACTGAATGGTATACATATACCACATTTTATTACTACTCATGTATTGATGGGCACTTGGGTTGTTTCTACAGCTTTGCAATTGTGAATTGTGCTGCTATAAACATTCGAGTGCAGGTATCTTTTTTGTAGAGTGTTCTTTGCTCTTTTGGGTAGATGCCCAGTAATGGGATTGCTGGATCAAATGGTAGATCTACTTGTATTGCTTTAAGGTATCTCCATATTGCTTTCCACAGAGGTTGAACCAGTTTGTAGTCCCACCAGCAGTGTAGCAGTGTTCCTATCTCTCTGCATCCACGCCAACATTTATTATTTGGGGACTTTTTGATAAAGGCCATTCTTACTGGTGATAAGTGATATCTCATTGCAGTTTTCATTTGCATTTCCCTGATGATTAGAGATGTTGAACATTTTTTCATATGTTTGTTAGCCATTATTCTGTCTTCTTTTGAAAAGTTTCTGTTCGTGTTCTTTGCCCACTTTTTGACAGGGTTGTTTGATTTTTTCTTGCTGATTTTCGTGAGTTCTAAGTAGATTCTAGTTATCAGCCCCTTATCAGATGTGTAGGATGCGAAAATTTTCTCACATTATGTATGTTGTCTGTTTGCTCTCATGACTGTTTCTTTGGCTGTGCAGAAGCTTTTAAGTTTGATCAGGTCTTATTTATTTTTGTTGCTGCTGTGATTGCCTTAGGACAGACATCCTCAAACTACGGCCCACGAACCACATGCAGCCCTCAGGACATTTATCCGTCCCACTGGGTGTTTTTGCCACAGCTGCTTGTCCTGCTTAGCAGCCAACTCGTCCCGGGCCGACAGTGCACGAGTGGAATATGCACTGCACTCTCCAATGGCCCTCCAACGGTCTGAGGGACAGTGAACTGGCCCTCTGTTTAAAGAGTTTGAGGACCCCT